CCCCAACAATACGTACTCAATGTTTTGCGCAAACAACTTGAACCGCAAAAAATTATGTTTTGTGTGAAAACTAACGCCTTTTAACAATGAGAATGTATTTACAAATTTATTACAACTCTTATGTTAAACAATATCGTGCTAAATTGTACTCTAACAGCAAAGCAATAAAGTCTTTCAGAAATGTTAGTTGAAGCACATTAATATTTGTAATAAATTTTTGTCGGTTTTGCACAACAAGTTAATAGAATCAAATACTTAGATATTTACAACTCTAATGCATTTAAATAAAGTAAATTTTTCATTGCATTTATCATTATCTTGTAAAGTATTGAGTTATAAGCCTCTCGAGCGCACGTGTTTGAAAGAAATACTCGAAATGCGCGAAATAAGACAGATACTTTACACAAAGAGACGGCTTCGAGTATACACGATCACTATCACTTTTTTTTTAATTTAACTTTTAGTTTGTAAAACACTAGCTTCTAATTAATAAAAACAAAAGTAAGTAAGCTATGTGTTCTTCCTTCCTCTACGTCTATGCCAAATTTTATTATTATCCGTTCATCCGTTTAGGCTACAAACTCTAACATCCATCTAAACATTCGCATTTATAACATTAGTAAGGATCACATTCATTTTTTTTAATAATTATTAACGTACTCTACTTGTAAAACTTAACTATGTTTAAAGTTTCGAAACGTCTTTCCACACATACATTATGGAATAACAACAAAGTTATAGACATAATCGAACTCCATTTTCCATTATTAGAAAAGATTGTTTATTCAGATGTAGCTAATAACAGCTTATTAAGACTAATGAATGCAGAAAATCGTGCAAATAACTTGCTAATGCAATATCGCAGTCAATTGCAGCGCAGTCCGGCGCAGCGCGGGACGCTCACTCTGCGACATTCATCGTTCATTAAAGCCAATGTTCAACTCATTCGGTCGCTGGGGGGGGGGGNNGGGGGGGACGTGCTCTCAAATAATCGCGCACCAATTAAAACTGCTTATTTCCTTAATTCTGAGCAATCGCTCCCTTAAACAGCTTTCATTCCTCAACACAACACATACAACTAAACATAGACTGTATTCGAAAGAGTTTAAGTCCAATTTCGATTACAACCTTTTACAGTAAACTGTCTGATTTTCTGAGATAATTGTGCTGAGGAAAAACAGCTCTTGTGATAATGAGTTACGATTAAAAATGAAGTGATAAGGTGTTGGGGAAGAGGTGAAGGAAATTGTGCGCTAACTCGCGCCGGCGGAATGAAACAACTCTTTGCGCTAATAATGAGAAAGTATAGACAGAGCAATGTCCCACAGAGACTACTTGGAGGTTACGACATTCTTCACAATTCGAATCTATTAAAATTATAACTAAAAGTAATTTAAGTGTTGCAAGAAAAAATAGATACAGAAAATACCAAGGATTGAAAAGAACAAGATTAAAATCAACTAAAATATAGATAGGTAATGTAAAAATGTGCAAAGCGGTTTGTTATTTCACTTTATTCATCATATTTAATTACACATTGCTCTGAGTGTCTGTCAGTAGATACTCTGTGCAGAGTACGGCGGACGCTAACTAAGCAGTTATTGAGGATGTTCGCTCGCAGATCGCAGCACTAACTGATTCACAATCCCTTATTCATAATTTATTTACCATACTTGACCTGACGGGAATATACCGACGATAGACGACAGATGACCAATTATGAACTAAAATGGGAAATTGAATTCACGACACATACCTATTATCTTTAAAAATCATATTAAAAATGCAATATGATAAATATTAGTGATGTGTTTCGAAATATTTTTAATTTATATTAAAATAAAAAGTGAACTTTTTATAATTAATTTAATAGTTTATTGTACATATTAAGATAATATAACACTACTTAACGTATTAATTACATAATAAATCAAACTTTAAATACAAAATCGAAATATTTATTATGCTATGAAAAATTTTCCACCTAATCAGTTCCTTTCACAAAGAATAATATCGCTTGGTTTACCTAAAATTCTATTTTAAGTTGAAGAGCGACATCTAGTATCGAGTAGCGGACAGTTTGGACAAAAAAATTTAAAACTGTATATCCTTAATGCTACTTATAAATAATTAAAGTACATTCAATATATTGTATTTTCAATATGTTGATTTATATTTGATGACGATATTTTCAAACTTTTTGTATTTATAAAAAATATGTTTTATTAACTAAGGATGGTGACAATAGATGGCACTTATACATAAAAGCAGATCTGGTAGACATCGACATGATCATAATTATTCTAATGAGTATTTTAGAAACTAGAAACCTAAGTGTTGTCTTACATTAATTAAAATTTAAGTACTTATCCATGGATATAAATAAATCTATAAAAAGTGTAAACAGGTGATAAGTTTTACCTTTAAAAATGCTTTGACAGGACTATCTAGATAGCTTTTATTCTTCAGAAGTTTTTTGTATGTACGTAGATAATTTGGGATTAAAAATGTATTATACACTGTGTGCTTACCATGCAAAAAAAATAATACAAAGCGTATCTTAAAAACAATGTTTAAAATTTATATAGATGTGTGTGTTACTGACGCTACCCGCCGCTGGGCGGCGCTGCG